AAATTTTGAGCATTCAACAGCATAGGAGGAGGATGGGAAAGGAAGAAGACCTTCACTGACAGTCTTCAAACAAGGGCTGGATGATGATCCATCAGAAGTGCTCTAGTGGATCCACACTGAGTAGGGAGTTGGACTAGGTGAGCTCTAAGATATCTTCCAACTCTACTATTCAATGAAAGAGCATGCATACACACACACACAAGAGATATCCTTTACCCTTCGGACTGCCCTCTTTCCCCTTTACTCTTCAAATTCCCTCCTTACATAGGACTCTGATTCCTCTCAGAGAAGAATCTGCAAAATGAGCATTCGTGTCAGGAATTGGGGATGACCATAATACTTGATCATAATAACCTTCTGGGACTACCCTCTAGTTTTCATAAAGTGCATAAGGGCTGCATTCAGACTGGTTTTGTATATTCAGAATTCATATCCACATTGCAAAGAAATGGTCCCAACATCTGGGCAAGCAACCTTTAGTTCCTCAAGCATCTTATACCCTGTCTTCTCCCACAAGGGTAACACTGAAGAGATGAATCAAAGCTCACCGCGTATTTTATACCAGACAGGTTGGCATCTGTGTCTTGTAACCAGTCGTAGAAATCTTGGGCGTTATCAGTAGGGTCCCCTTCTCCATAGGTGGCCATGCAGAAGATTGCCAGGGACTTATCAATCTCCGACAGATGACTCAGGTCCGACTATATGAGAAAGGGGACAGAAAATAAGGGACTCAGAAACATCAGCTTTTCTTTCTATCCAGGAGAGTTCTAGGTCCACCATGCTTACGAGTTAACAAAAAGACTGGAGATACTGGGAGGTTCACTGAAGTGTTCAGGTCCTGAGCAAGGCTTCATAACAGCTTCACTGTTCCTGTTTCTTCTCACAAAATCATCTAAATGTCATACAATTCCAGCCATTCTTTATTTCAGTTGTCATTGTTACAACCTTAATTTTGAGAGTTTGTCAGAACCTTTTGAGGGATCACAAGACGTCCTAGGTAACAATGCATGCTTTACTAAAAGAGCAAGTGATTATTACGCTAAACCATAACTGAGTGCAGTTTTCCCCAACCTGAAGCTATCCAAATGTGCTGATTGCAATTTTCCTTGCAGGCTGAGGATAACAGCAGAACTTGGAGGCATGATGTGCCTCCCTGCTGCCTAGAGAGGAAGGATAATTAAAATCTTTGTACGGTTCTTTAGCTCCTGGCAAACCCAGTGCAACTAAACCACTGCTTCCCTTCTGCTGGAGAAGTTGGAGAGGCATCAGGAAGAAAAACTAGTAGACTCTTCTCATGCAATCCTCCCCAACTTGGTTGCCCTCCTAATATGTTGGAACTAAAATTTATAGAGTTCCCATCCCATCAGACCATACTGGCTGGAGAATAAATTCTAATCTCAGCAGATTCAGGCAAGGAAACTAGCGGTGTGCAATATCTGAAATATTTCAAGCCTAAAACAACCCATTTTAAGCTCCAAAGAACTTCCCACCAGATGTTTTCCTGTATCTTTCCAGGATGACTGAAGCAGTGTCAGAACATTCTCTGGAAAGTCAGAACAGTCCACTTCAAATATGAAACATTTTGCATATCACTAAAGGAAAAAAATAGATACAAAATGAAGTTGGGGAAGACTTTCTTATCGTATCAGCGCACAAGGAATGCTTTTGAAGGGAACAGGACTATCTAAGCTCAAATCCAGGTGACACCAGCAAGAATTCAAAAGGATGGAAATACTGCTGAGAACATACCACATCATATTCCTCTGGATCAGCAGACATGCCGCGCATCCCATAACGATGGGCATCTTTGGCAAGGCGGTTGGCAAATTCTTCAGCAGTCCCTGTCTGAGAGCCATAGAACACCACAATGTTTCTTCCCTGGGAAGGAAAAGAAAATAGGAGAAAAGAAAATGTAGCAATGTCCAAAAGACCCTGGAACTGCTCAAACAGAACACGTCTTTATTCGGTCAATGGTCAGCAAATTTAAGAGAACAAAGACAGAATAAAACAAATGGATAGAATAATATACTAAAAGACTCAGAGTTAATAAAGCTACTTATTCCAGGTAGTAATTTCTACCTCTATCTCCAACCAGATCTGAAATCAAACGAGAAATTAATTTATTCCCCCAAAGTCTCTATCAGGGGGAAGCCTATTTACTTTCTGCACACAGCATTCCAGGCAAGCCAAAAATTAGGCATCCGGTAGAAGCCATGACATCACATGCTGCATGATCTCATCGCACATATTGTATAATTTGCATCATCTGTGCAATAACATCAGGATACATGTGATCTCACTTGCTCTCTCTTGCAGATGCCCATGGGCAAAACTGGGTATTTCTCTGAGATGGGTGGGTTGATTTTATTTTTTCCCTTTAAAATATGTGAGGGGAATTGTACCTTACTGGATTTCTATGCAGTTTTCTGAGGAAACTTTTCCATTTCTAAACATGCAATATTTTGTAAGACTAATTAATAACAGAATGCATAGAGAATAGACTAGACAGGTTTCCAAGTTGTAGCTAACATTTTGCATGTGGTTCTTCCAGGGAAATGCATATGCATATTTAACAACCCTTTGCAACTCTTTGGGGAATACTAAAATTAATATGTTAACTATTCTTTGTGCCTTCTTTGTCTTAAATTATAAACAAACTAAGGGAAATACATACTGCTGACTTATCCAACAGCTTATAAACTCCTCCTTGAGAAAATGGGAAGTCCTGGCTTGTAATAAATTGTGATCTGGCCACTCCTGAAGAAATCTATTCTGTACAGGGAGGATGAAAATAATTATAGATCATCACCAACACTGCCTTGGATGAGCAGTGGTTGATCAACTCGAGGCACCTTCTCTAGCTCCACTGAAATCCAAACTCAGACAGAAAATGCCTTGTCTTTCTATTGGATGACCAGAAAGGGGATAGGGATATGTGAAATACCACCTTGGAGGTTCCCTTGGACCTTTTAGCAGCAGCTTTGCCACAGCAAATGGCATCCCGGATGGGCACTCTGGTTCAGTTGAGGGACATTGTCTTAGGGCAGTCTGCATCTGCTAGTATGGCCAGTTTCAGAGTCAGTAAACTTTACAGGTGGAAGGAGAAGAAGAAAGAGAAGAAGTAGGAGGAGCAGGAGTTTAAAATGGCAAAAATCACACTGGGAGTTGCACAAAGACTGTTTAAAGAGGTTGTAGGAGCCATGTTGCTCACCCTATCCTAAAGGATCATGTGAAGAGCTTGGGGTTTACTTCTTGACCATAAAGTAGCTCCAAGCATGCTTATGCTGTAAGCCACCATGAGTTTATTTAGATTTAGCACATACACATTCACTCAAACTGACTGTTATCCTAATTGGACAGAGACAGCATCACAACACTGTATGGATTACTGCACTGCATTATACACGGGAACATTTTCAAAAAAAAAAATCAGAAATGTCAGTTTCAAAACAGTGAAGCCAGAGTGCTGCTAACTGGGAGAGGCCAAGGCAATCAAAACAGGCTAGTGATTTGCCTTGTGCTAGTTTGTTTCTAAGCCCAATACAAAATGTGAGTTTCCTAGTAAATGGCTTGGAACCCAATCATCTTAAGGAGCAACTCCTCCCATATTTACCAACATGGATTCTATATTCTCCATCCAAGATCCTTCTACAAGTAAGGCAAGAGGAGAACAGTTCAAGAGAAAAAGTATTTTCCTTAGTAGCACCCCATTTCTGAAATATCTTCCCTACCACGGCTTGCCTGGTGCCCACTTTATGATTTTTCTGCCATCAGGAACTTTTAAAAAAATTAAGTGATCGTTGGATATTGTTTTGCTACTAGCTTTGCTGTGATTTTGTGTGCTTATTTTATGTGATTTTTATTGCTGTTCTTCATTTTATCTCTTTTATGATGTTAATTACAAAATGGCATCATAAAAGAGAAAACAAATAGCAATAACAATAACAATCACATTATTATTAATACCGCTACTACTAACAATAATAATGGATTTGTTTGCTGTTGCTCTTGGGCAATCCAAAAAGTTAATGAACAAATAATTTCTTAGAAATGTTTGATGATAAATATATATTTTACAAACATGACTTCTCCCAGCACGACACAGAGGTATTCTCTAGATCAGGTTTTCCTTAATATTCCTCATTCCCAGCTAGTATGGCAGATGATTAAGAACAGTAGACACTGTACTCCAACTACATCTGGGGATCCAAGATTGAAAAAAATCTTGCCCCAAAAATCTACATTGCTGCTGCCAACTTGCCCTCATACACAGAAGAGAGGCTGAAACGACTGAAAAAGCCTGGGTAACAAGCCTGTTTCAGTGAGTACTAACCATGAAAAGAATGCAGTGAAACTTACCGTCTTTTTCATTTTTTCCACAAAACTGTTTTCATTTGCTGACTGCCCTCTATAAAAGAGAGAAAGAAAGGCATGGTTTTGAAATGCTCACAGCTGTAGCTATGTGCCAAACCATCACATTGGTTCAGCGCTACAATGTTCTCCACCCTGCTACATATCAACTCTGTCGGGACTAAAGATCCTACATTTCAGTGGCACAATAGCAATATTTTGGGGATGTGATGGTAAGCCATCACAGTTAGCAGGCACCAAGTTTGGCGAGGCTGAGCTGGCAGCTGCATAGTGAACAGTAATGCTATCACCACCAGGCCAAGGTCAGCAGTCTCCATCAGTTGCATCAGAACCAACATTTTTTGTGGTCAGAAAGTCTGGAGCAAAGGCTCCTTTCCCAATCCACATGCAAGATTCTCTCTGGTTCACGCACCCGATGATCAGTGGAACAGAAACAATACCCCAAATTAATCCTTTTTCTATCACTGCTATCGATGGAGAGCAAGCTAAGTGACAGGGATGGGAATGGGGAAGTCACTTTTCTCTCCTTTAGACATTCCCATTTGCATTTGAGAAAAATAGTACTAGCCAAGAGCTGTTCAGGATTAACAGCAGCATATTCGAGAGTAGCCTGAAACATCTTAAATAATTTCCTGTTTTCCAACTTCCTGGTCCCCATCAAATCAGGAGCCTGGTAGCATCTTTTCCAACTAGCCCATTTTATTAAAAGGCATAAACTTCCATCAGCTTAATAAAATGGGTTAGCTGGAAAAGACGCTACCAGACTTCTGATTTTTTGCGACTATAGACTAACAAGGCTCTCCTCCTCCATACCCCGCCCCCTCAGTATCTAGGCAGCAGAAGATTGTGAATTCTTTTCAAAGAGGCAACCCCAAGTTAAGCACAATGCAGCTATTCACTTTGAAGGTAACCAGAGAAGGAGTAGGGAACAGCTATCTAGTCATACTTATACGTTAATTCTAGTACAAAAACAAGTATTCCTCTCTGCTTGGATCGCTTGGGAAGTAGAGTGAGAGCCTACTATCGTGTTTATGTCTTGCTTGTGGGACTCACAGGGGATGAAAAAGATGGGTCTTCAGTTTGATCCAACACAGCTCTCCTGTTCTTAATGTGCTCTATTCCTGAGCTATCATCGTCTCCTTTAATGTCCTGCACGAGGCAGGTCCCTAAAAGAGTTGCTTTCAGTTGAAAAATAACTTTTCCCGCCATGACCTTCTGCTTTATTTCATCTTTTTAGGAGTGCATATAAGCTAGTGCAGAGGGTGGAGGAGAGTAAGAGAAACATCCCAGCATCACCCCCAAATAGTGGCCTCACATGGCAATAGCCATGTTTGCATCAGAACAGATTTCCTGAATAGAAGCTGCCACCAAATCCACTTTTGCATTTAAAAGGTTTGCTCCAACCCTGTTCCAATTCAGCAGACCCCAAACCCGCCATCACAGGAGGCTTCCAAGCCTCCCATGGTAACTTACCTCCCAGGAAAAGTCTCCTCCTGCTGTGCTGAATACGCGCAACCCATAGTGAATTTGAAACAGCAGAGAGGTGGTTCCCAACTCTGCAATTTCATACTGACTGCAGACAGCTAAACTTCACTCTCAAGCAAAGCATCCCAGAATTTCTCACATTACCCCTCTTGGATCTTAAAGTCAGCTGCTGGCCTCCTTTTGTTACACCCTAGCAAAGCTCGCATACCGACCCCTCGCGTCAGACAGCACCAGCAGCCTGATCCTCTGGGATTCATGTCGGCTGCTTTCAGAATTATCCAGAGGGCCCGGCACAAACCCAAGAATGTCAACATCTGGCAGCAGCAAAAAGGAATGAGAAGAAAAGGACTTAAGAATGAAAATTCCCAAGGACCCTTGCACCCTCCCTCCCCACTTTTACCATTCAAGAATGAACAGGGGAAGCTTCACAGCGAGAGACTTCCATTGCCTTAGCAACTGTTTTACATCATAGGCCTTTTAAAAATAAATAGAAGCCACTTTTTTTAAAAAAAATTGAAAACTGGCCTTCCTGCAGAATCTCTGCACAGAAGGCTGCACGGACGTTCAGAAAATAAGGTATTTAAAAAGAATATGTCCAATTTGTTTTCATTAGGAATGGGAAAGAAGAAAGGTTAATACAATTGGGAGGAGTCTAATGACTTATCTATTGAATTCAAAGTCTCCTTAAAGATAACAGAACAGTTCTTCCCACTGCCTGTTAATCCCCATAGGCCTCCTCTGGGAAAATAATACAAGTCATCGAGAGGAGTGAGAGTTCAGTACCACCCATTAGTATTGTCTTCTTTTTGCTTATGGGAAGCCTGATGCCCTCCAGATGTGTTGGAAGATAGCTCACATTGTTTCCCACACTTCTGCCCTCCAGATCTGTTGGATGGTAGCACAGGAGGATTATAGGATCAACTGACTTCTGGGCAGTAGCATTTTAAGAACTCAGGTCTTTAGGACCCATAGATCTTCCTCTCTTGGCCAAGAAAATGGTGCAAGAAGGTGGGACAATCAACACCCCAAGGCACATATAATCTCAGAGCACTTTTCCTGGTTCCCAGAGCCAATTCATTCTGAACAGCTCCACCAACTTTTAGAAGTGCAATTTCCTGCCATTCATAGGCTCATAGAACTGGAAAGACCCATTCAAGGCTGTGAATTTAACTCCTATAACCTCAGAGATGACTGGGAATAATGACACCTTTAGCCCAATGCATAGAATCAGAACACTGGAAGAGCCATTTAGGCCACTGAGCCCCATCTATTGGTCAGTGCAGGTTTCCAAGTTGAAGCACCCCAGACAATGGTTTGATTTGAACAAATCCAATAAAGGGGTGCCCATCAGCTCAGTGACAGGTTCCATTGGTAAACCATCCTGACCATGAGGAAATTATTCCTAATATTCAACAAAAATCTGGCTTTTTAAAATCCATTGTTCTGTATCTTTTACTTGGGGATAATAATGAACAGATTATGGCTTTCTTCTGTGACTCACAGCTTCAGATATTTGAAGAATGCTATTCTATGTGTGATACAACGCTTCGGTATCCTGCAGGTGCTAAAAAACCAAATGCTCTTGGGATGCCTTAACAAGAGCATGGAGTAGAGTAATTGTTCCATTCCACCCTGCCTTGGTCAGACCCCACTGAAGTCCTGTATCCAGTTCTGGGCAGCTTTCAATTTGACACAGCTTGACAGTGCCAAAATGGAGCAATTCAGAGAATGGCTTCTACAATGATGAAGGATCTGGAAACTAAGCCCTGTTAGCAGCGGTTAAAGAATCTGGGGGGGGGGGGGGGGGG